GTGAGCGGGGCCGCGGGCTGGAGCGGGGCTCGGAGCTAAATGCGGGGACGGGATCATCAGGAGGGGGCGGGGTCGGAAATGGGGCGGGTCTGACCCAGAGCGGGGCGGCCGGGTAGCGAGGGCCGCTTGAGGGGCGGGGCATCAGGCTAGAGGCGGGGCTAAATGTGGGGGTGGGGCCCTGAGGCGGAGTGGAGGCGGGCCGAGGGGCGGGGCATTCGTCCAGACGCTGGGCTTTAGCTCGGAGGTGGGGGATTAAGGTCCGTCTTCGGCCGGGAGATCATCACCTCAGATTCGTTTATTGGCCGGGCGCAGTGGCTCAAGCCTGTACTCCCAGCACTTTGGGAGACCGAGGTAAGAGGATTGCCCGAGCCCACGGGTTCGAGGCCAGCCTGGGCAACTTGGCGAGGCCTCATCTCGACAATAAGTCAAAAAAAATTAGCCACGCGTAGTTCTGGCTACTTGGAAGGCTGACCGGAAGGATCGCCTGAGCTCAGCGGGTCGACACTGGAGTGACCGTGAGCGTGACACTGAACACCAGCCTGGGCGACGGAGTGAGACTCCAGCTCAGAAAAAAAATTCATTTATTTCACCGCTACTTATCACATTTGTTTTACCGTTTATCTTCCTCGAATAGCATGTTTTAGAAGATGTGTTGCTAATTTTAGCTCCAGTTGCACCATAGCTAACAGCTTTGTGTGCATTTTCTAAACTTTAATAACAGCCAAATCCTAACACTCCTATTCCTCAAGGTAGTTGCCATTTCCAATTAATAGAGGAGAAACGTATGAAGAGAGGTGAAGCCACTAGCTGGAAGTCACACAGCTAACAAAGGGCAGTGCCCAAAGTCTGACTCTTCAAAGCCTGTGCTCCTAACCACAGAGCCAGATGGCCTCCACACTTTAGCCAAACCATTAGCCAGTGGCATCACTGAAACCAGAGTAAAAACTATGAAGGCCAAAAAGAAAAAAAAACAAACTATGAGTGGCAAGAGAAAACCACAGACCTAACATTTTAGTTAACTTTTGTAGTGTGTAGAGTTATACCTGGTGACTGGGTACATAAGAGCTCTTGGTCTTTTTAATGCTTAAAATAGCACAGAGACTTCTGTTTCTGCTCAGCCAAAGCCCATGTTAGTCAGGGTTCTCCAAACAGAACCAGTAGGATGTGTCTATTTAGAGAGAGAGATTTATTCCGAGGACTTGGCTTACCGTGGAGACTGGCAAGCTTGAACGCTGCCGGATAGGCCGGCGGCTGGCTGGAGACCCGCAAGAGCCAGTGCTGCAGGTCAGGTCTGAAGGCTGTCTGCTGGCAGGATTCCATCTTCTTCCAGGAGTCCCTGGGTGTGGAGCCACTCCAAGTTGGTACAGCCTCTGCACTTCACAGTTGAAGGCTGAGAGAAGGAAGATGGCGTCGCTTGCCCAAAGACACTACTGTTAGGACCAAGCGGCGTCTTCCGTGTGGCCTGGTTGCCAGTCCGGTTGTTGTTGCTCGTTACCAGTGTCTCGGGTTTGAGTTCTGGCCAGTTTGGGGGGACAGGTGACATCTGGCCTAGTCCCCAGTCCCTGTCCTTATCTTTTGCCATAGCTTAATGGCCGAAGCCAAGGATACTGCTTAAAACTAGAAAGCCTTTTTTTCTTTTAACTGAGAAGTTGAGCCTCCTCAGCTTACCATTCACACACCCTTTTCTCACACTTCACCTTCCTGTGCCTTAACATTTTTAATTGGTTACCACTTAATTTCACATTTTAAAAAAATTCAGGTGTTGGACTTCTTTTGACAAAATCACCATATCTGGCAATTCTAGTTTAAAATTCCTTGTGGTTCAGAATAGCAGCTGCTTCCTTTAGATAGAGCAGGTTTTAAAAATTCAGTTATAAAATAGGTGAAACACATGAGTATATATTTTACCAAGGGGAGATGCAGATGCCAGATACGCCTATGAAATGATATTCAACATCACTAACCACTAGAGAAATGCAAACTTAAAACACAGTGAGATAGCACTGCAGGGGAGGGAGTGAAAGAGGGGGAGAGGAAGTTAAAAACAAAAAAGCAAGGTATCACTGCAAACTGGAACAACTAAAATAAAAAACAGTGACAGTATCAAACACTGGTGAAGATGCAGAGAAACTGGCTCTCTTATACGTTGTTGGTGGAATATAAAATGGAAAATAATTTGACAGTTTCTTACAAAACTACACATGCATTTATGATACAACCCTGTCATTTTAGTCTTGGGCATTTACCAAGAGAAATGAAAACTTATTTTCATATAAAAACCTGTACGCAAGCAGCTACTGTAAAAAACAGTATGGCAAATTCCTCTAAAAGTTAAAAAATAGATTTACCATACGATCCAGTATCAGGGACGCAAATGGGTATTGGTAGATCCGTGTTCATAGCACCATATTCATAATAGTCAGAAGGTGGGAAGCAACCCAAGTGTCCATCAATAGATGGATAGATCAACAAAACGTGGTCTATACACAGTGGAACAGTATTCATCCTAAAAAGGAAGAAAATCTTGATATGTGTCACAACATGAATGAACCCTGAGGACATTATGCAAAGTGAAATAAGCCAGTCATAAAAAGAGAGGCAAGGTATGACTCTACTCATGTGAGGTACTTAGAATAGTTACAGTCATAGAGACAGAAAATGGGACAGTGATTACCAGGGACTGGCAGGAGGGAGAAATGCGGAGTTATTGTTATTGTAGAGAGTTTCCGTTTTGCAAGACGAAAAGGGTTCTGGAGATGATGGTTCTGATGGTGATGGTTGCATGACAATGTGAATGTTCGTCATGCTGCCGAACTGTACACTTTAAAATGGCTAAAATGGTAAATGTTATATATATATATTGTTTTATCACAATTTAAATAAATACTTTTAAACCCTGTACATAAATGTTCATATCAGCATTATTCGTAATACTAAAAACAACCCAAATGTCCTTCATTACATAAACTCTGGTACATCTATCATGTTCTCTTCAGCAGTAACAAGGGATCTGCTATAGACACAAGTAACAACCTAAGTGGAGCTCAAGGACATCATGCTTAGTGAAAATAGTCCCAAAGGTTACAGCCTGTATGATTCCACTTAAGTAGTATTCTTGACGTGACAAGCTGTAGCAGTGGAGCACAGATCAGTGGTTGCCAGGGGTCAGGACTAGGGATAGAGGTGGTGCAAATACAGAAATAGCACAAGGGAGTGCTTTGGCAGTGACAGAAGAGTTCTGCATCTTGATCGTGGTGGTGCTTACACAGATCCATATGCAGAATATAATTGCATAGGTCTGCACTCACAAATGGATGTGGGTTTTTAAATGGTGACAACTAAGTCGAGTCTGCATCTGGACAGTATGCCAGTGTCACTTTCCTGCTTCTGATACTGTGCTACCACTGTATGTCACCTTTGGAGGAAGCTGGGGGAAGGGTATAAAGGACACTTTGTACTACTTTTTGCAACTTCTTGTGAGTCTGTAATTCTTTCCAAATAAAAAGTTAAAAAATTTGCCGGGCGTGGTGACTCAAGCCTGTAATCCCAGCACTTTAGGAGGCCAAGGTGAGGGGATTGCCTGAGCCCATGGGTTCAAGAACAGCCTGGCAACTTGGTGAGACCTCATCTCTTCAATAAATCAAAAAATTAGCCAGGTGTGGTAGCCCACTCCTGTAGTTCCAGCTACTTGGAAGACTGAGGTGGAAGGATCACTGGAGCCCAGCAGGTTGACACTGGGGTGGCCGTGAGCGTGCCACTGCACTCCAGCCTGGGCGATGGAGTGAGACTCCAACTCAGAAATAATAGTAATAATAATAATTAGGCTCGGTGAGGTGGTTCACATCTATAATCCTAGCACTTTGGGAAGCCGAGAGAGGAAGATCATTGAGCCCAGGAATTCAAGACCAGCCTGGGCAATATAGCAAGACTTCGTCTCTACAAGAAAATAAAAAAATTACCCAGGCATGGTGGCGCACACCTGTGGTCCCAGCTACTCGGGAGGTTGAAGCAGAAGGATTACCTGAGCCCAGGAGGTCGAGGCTGTGGTGAGCCATGATCATTCCACTGCACTCCAGCCTGGGTAACAGAGTGAGACCCTCAACTCAAAAAACACACAAACTGTATATATAATTTTATCATAACTGTAATGATAATTTTATATATACTTCATGTATGTAATATACGTATTTCATTCTCAAAATCACAGTTGATACGGTATTACACTAGAAAATACTGCTTCTGCTCCATGGAGTTTAAAAGTAGTTGGCAGGGAAAATGGACTGTTTTGAGTTGGAGTCGCACTCAGTCTCCCAGACTGGAGTGCAGTGGCTGCTCCCGGCCACTGCAGCCTCGACTTGCTGGGCTCCGGTGACCCTTCTGCCTCAGCCTTCCAAGTAGCTGGAACTACAGGCACGTGCTACCATGTTCAGCTAATTTTTTTGATTTATTGTAGAAATGAGGTCTCGCCAAATTGCCCAGGCGGGTCTTGAACCCACGGGCTCAGGCAATTCACTCACCTTCCAAAGCATGGGATTACAGGCTGAGCCACCGAGCCCGGCAACTTCTTTTTTTTTTTAAATTCAAAGTTATAGTGCAAGGCGTATTTGCTTCTAGACACTATGCACTCTAGGAATCCTCCAGGACAGTTGTTATGGATCATCAGGGCTGGTTAAGGAGGAAGGAGGAGCTTGAGTTGGGCTTGATGGATGACCAGGGCTGAGCCGGGTAGAGAAATACCATAGAAGTAGGGGCTGGAGAGGATGGTATGCAGTGGTCCAGAGGTGTCCAAAGGGTAACGCAGATGGACTAGGCTGCAAAGTGCCAGGTCAAGGCACCGAACAACCTCCCAGACAGTTTTATGACCAGCAGCATGACACATGAAAGCAACAGGGGTTATTGTGACTCAGAAGCGGTGAAGGGATGGTGTGAGAGTGGGGGGGGCTAGAGATGATACCCAGCAGGCTGCTGCCAAGAGGGTATACAGTGCTGTGTCTGACACCCCTGGGTGATTAGCCATGGAGTTGGAAAGGTGAAAAGTGGTCAGCAGATCAGACCACAAGAGGGGGAAGATGGAGCCTGGGTGACTGAGAAAGACATCATCGAAGCAGAGAAGGATCCAGATTTTTGGCAAATGTCCTGTCTTTCCCAGCGCAGCACAGCTCACACCACCACACCTCCATCCATTTCTGTTGGAACTCTTGTACTCACATTACCTTTCTGGACAGAGTAACCCATTAGAGTCCCAAGAGGCAGAAATGGGAAGACAGGACTTCGACTTGGCTCTAGGGATACTCCTGGTCTCACCCCTTTGCCTGCGAAAGCCACCTGAGGTCACTGCCGATCACATTCCTGCATGCTGTCCAGGAGCTGTCAGCCAAGGTCTTTGCAGAGAGAGCTGTCTGCACATGAGACACCTCCAGGACCGAGCCAGACAGCAAAGACAGCAGAGGAGTGGCATACCAGCCGCAGGACACAGGATTTCTGACCCTAGTCAACTCAGTGTTGGGAGCACAGTGAAGCGACAGTTTGAGAACAATTGTTCAAGATCTTGAGAGAGAGAGGCAGGGTGAACTGAACCCAGGAGAGCAATAAAACCCAACGGGGCTGTGTTGTATTGGCTCTTGATCTGCGTGGTGAGGACCAGGCCTCATTGTACCTCTGCCCTCCTCCTGCTCCCCTGTCCTCGGCCTCCACAGGCCCCCAGCTCACAGTGCATTCTTGTTTCCTTATAGGCAATCTTTAGCCAGAAAAACAAGCAGGTGCCTGACCCGTTGGACACGAGACGCTGGCAGGGCTTCCGGCTGGAGGAGTATCTGATAGGGCAGTCCATTGGCAAGGGCTGCAGCGCTGCTGTGTATGAGGCCACCACGCCCACCCTGCCCCAGAACCTGGAGGTGGCAAAGAGCATCGGGCTTCTTCCAGAGAGAAGCCCAGACACCATTCCACGGGAAGAGGAGTGTGTACCAGGTGCCCCAGCCTACCCCTTAGCCATCAAGATGATGTGGAACATCTCGGTAAGGACCCAGCCTTCCACCCTTCAAGTGGGCATTTCTCAAAATGCCAGTTGTAGTGGACCTGGTGGTGACTGTTTCCAGGAAGTGGGTAGCAAAAACATAGATTCTCCCCGGGAAAGGAGCCCAGATAGTTAGGCTTTCTCCCAGTCATACACAAAATCCAAGGCAGACGGTCTCAAATTGTGAGGTGCCAACATATCACCCAGGATCAGGTACAAAAGTAGATTCTGAGAAAGCAGGTCAGGGCGGGGGCCTGAGTTCTGCGTTGCCAACAAGCTTCCAGGTGATGCTGGCGCTGCTGGTCTATGACCCACACATTGAGTAGGTCTGCCTAAACCATTGGCTTCTGCCCTATTCAGTTAGTCCATTCCAGGTCTGCCTTTACCACCGCCCCTTCCTCCCATGACCTACCCTGCTGGAGAGGAGGAGCTGTCCTCCTCCCCTAATCTCACCCTTCAGGCCCACCTCCAGATCAGGGGCTTGCTTGTCATCTCTGTACTCAACTCTTAGAAGGACTCAAGGTTTTAGAAAATTGAGGAGTATTCTTCCCCCACAAAAACAAAGATTTCTGTTTATTTAGAGTAATTTCTTTCTTTCTTAACTGAGATGGGGTCTTGCTTTGTTGCCCACACTGGAGTACAGTGGTACAATCATAGCTCACTGCAGCCTCGACCTCCCGGGTTCAAGTGATACTCCCACCTCAGCCTCCCAAGTAGCTGGGACTACAGGTGCACATCACCACACCTGACTTTTTTTTTTTTTTTGGAGAGATGAGGTCTCACTATGTTGCCCAGGCTAGTCTCAAACTCCTAGGCTCAAGTGATCTTCCTGCCTCAGCCTCCCAAAGTGCTAGGATTACAGGTGTGAGCCACTGTGCCCAGCCTAGAGTAATTTCTTTACCTTGCCATTGCTAGATGGGTTTGGAAAATTAATCAAGACTTGACGTTTTGTCTCCTGCCGAGAGCATCCATCCAAGGCTGAGGTGGAAAACAGCTACAGCAGTTCATGCTGGATACTGAAAAATGCAGTTTCTTGTTTTGACTTTGGGAATGGATTATTAAACTGTTGCACTCCACACTGGGTTAATCGCTAACAAGTAGCCAACTCCTTTGCCTAGGAAACATCCAACTTAGGATCAAAACTCCTTGGGGTGTGACAGCTATTTACATTCACAAAGCTGTTGATTCTTATAGGATCTTCTTGATACTTAACAGGTTTCACAGGTCCTGAAAGCCATTCATAATTAAATGAGGAAAATAAGGTGCTTCCCCCACCTTGGGTTTTTGTGTATTTATTTTGGGGGATAATTCAGCACAACTTTGTCCAGGGCGGAGTGTGTCGGGCTCCAGCCTGTCTGCTGAAGGGAGGCTGCAGGATGAGTCTCAGTGATCCAGTGGTCAGTTCAAGCTGGTAGAGACCAGAGGCATCACAGGCAGGAAGAAGCATCCCATGCCCTCATCATCTTGATGTTGCCTCCTGTGCCCGGGTACCAAGGTTGCAAGTTTGAGGTGTGGGAAGTGTCCTCTGAGTTGGCATGGAGGGCACCTCTACCCCTCCGCCTCCCAGGAGGAACTAGTCTTGGCTTGCCACTTGAGTGAAGTGATGTTATCTTGAAGGCCAGAGCCCATTCTAGGCAGTAGCTGACCTGGTCCAGGTTACAAACAGGTCTTGTGAGGAACTTGCCATTACGATCTGGTCTGTGTAACCAGGGCTCTTTGCGGATGTGTTCCAGGCGGGCTCTTCCAGTGAAGCCATCTTGAGTAGAATGAGCCAGGAGCTCGTCCCAGCTAGCCAAGTGGCCCTAGCCGGGGAGTATGGAGCAGTCACTTGCAGGTAAGTGCCCTCTGCCCACCAGATTGACTGAGAGTTCTGAGAGCAAAATCATAAATCTGTGAGCCCAGCACTCAGCACAATGTCAGACACCAAACCAAAGCTGAGTGATGTCGTTGATGACATATTTTCAGTTAGTAGATAATTTGGCTTGAAAAAGATTGTAAATCATCTGACCCCAAATGATGATGCATATAGGAAATTCACATGGGAGCAGGGGAGAGGCCATCCAAACGCCCAATTCGGAATGTTGGAAAATTGATCGGTTCCTCCTAAGCAGTGCATGGGTGGAGCGCCACCTGCCGGTACAAGCAACTGTGTCCGCAGGAGGGAGCATTCCACTAATAGTTACAACACCGTTGATGGTGTCAAGAGATTTTTTAAAAGGTGGTTTGTTTCCCACAAGTTCTCAGTGTGACAGCAGAACCCGCCAGTGGGGTGAGCACTAGAATAGAGTGTGCTGGGGAACCGAGGGAGCCCCGGGAGGCGTGTGTGCTGCAGGGGCGAGGGCCACTCAGAAGGGCAGTTTGTGCTGCCTTCTGAAGAATGACCAGGCATTACCGAGGCCAGGGAGTAGGGAAGAGGTGTTCCCATCAGAGGGAAGGCAGGTGGATGGCAGCTGCACCTTCGGCGTGGTAAAGCCCCCACTTACAGATGTGAAGGTTGCTGCTTGGGCTCATGACAAAGGATACACGTGTGCTCACCTGAGTATTTGTAGCCCACAGGAAGAGGCGGGACGGCTGCATTCCTGGTGATTTACTAGAGGGCTGGCACACGGGACCGGGACTGAGTTCTGTCAGAGATACCATCAGCATTGGCTGAGGAGCAGGGCTACGCACAGCAGGCAGAGCCACTTGATCCAAAATGAGCCACTGTGTCTCAGCAGGGCTGCAGGCGGGGGCTTCTCAGAGGCACAGGAGAGGGTAGGGCAGCAGGTGACACCACTACTGCTAACTACAGCTGGATCCATCCAGTCATTCAGAAGCTGTTTCCTAAGCTCCCATTTCACGCCAGCTGTTATGCTAGCATGACCTGGAGAAATGTAGGCATGGTCCCTGCTTTATTCAGTGAATGTCTGTCACCTGTTAGACTGCAATGCTATGAGAGCAGGGACTCCACAGCATCCCAGCATGCCCAGTACTTGATGGGAAAATGACAAATTTTAGTTGGATGGATAATAGTAACAGCTAATATGTGCTGAGTGCTTACTCTGATAAACATGATCCCAGATACTTCCCATGTAAGAACAGCCTATGTGACATGTTACCACCCTATTCTTGCACTTGAAACTGAGCACAGAGAAGTATGAGAGTCCCTCTTATCCCGATAGATACATTTCAAGACCCCCAGTGGATGCCTGAAACCACAGATCGTGCCAGTCCCTAGAGATAGTTTTTTTTCCTATTCAAGTACATACATACCTGTGATAAAGTGTAATTTATAAATTAGGCACAGTAAGAGATCAACAATAAGACTGAATAATTTTAATAATATACTGTAATAAAAGTTATGTCAATGTGGTCTCTCTCAAAATATCTTGTTGTCCTGTACTCACCTGCTTTTGGACTGTGGATAACTGAAATCACAGAAAACAAAACCATGGATAAGGAGGGACCACTGTCACTTGGCCAGCGACTCAAAGGGTAGACCTGAAATTCAAACCCAGGCAGCTTGCCTCCAGGGTTAATTAATCCCTGTGTTCTACCACATGGAAGAACACATGGGAGGGAGGGATGAATGGTCAAATAGATTGAAGGGTGGGTAGAGGGGTCATCAAATGTGTTCCCCAACACTGTGTACAGTACTGGGCACATGGCAAATCTGTTATACACATTTGCTAAATAAATGAGTGAATAAATGAATGTCAGTGTTGGTTGTGGCCTTAGATGATCCGACTGTTGTATCTGACACTGGCCTCATGTTTTTCCTGCTTGGCTGAATAGAAAATCCAAGGGCGGTCCCAAGCAACTAGCCCCTCACCCCAACATCATCCGGGTTTTCCGTGCCTTCACCTCATCTGTGCCACTGCTGCCAGGGGCCCTGGTCGACTACCCTGATGTGTTGCCCCCACGTCTCCACCCTGAAGGCCTGGGTCATGGCCGGACGCTGTTCCTCGTTATGAAGAAGTAAGTGGGGGCAGGGGTGACAGGACCCTGGAGCTGGTCCCTGCCCTCCACATGCACTTTGAGCATGGGGTTTCAGTAAAGAGGGTCCTCATCCTTTGGGAGAATAAGACCAAGCTGAGGGAGCACATCTGCCCTGGAGAGCAGGTTCTCTTTAGGATGGTTTTTTATAAAAACAAAATCTCATCTTCATCCAGAACATACTTTTACTGTAATAAAAGTTATGTGAATATGGTCTCTCTCTCTCAAAATATCTTAGGGTCCTGTACTTACCTGTTTTCGGACTGCAGATAACTGAAACCATGGATAAGAGGGAACTGCTATCACTTGGCCAGGGACCCAAGGGGCCTCACAGCTTGCCTGGCCTGTTTTTAACATCAAAACAGTTCTCCTTCCTCACCCTCTGTACCGCCTGACTTTGCTGTGATGGATGTTCATTACTTTGAACATGGGGAGCCCCAGCTCTTTCCTAATTTCAGGATGGTGGGTGGGACAGAAAGGATACACAGGAAAGAAAGAGACCAGGGAGTGGGGAAGAGGAGGCCTGAGCCTACTGGTGAATAAGTGCTAGAGGGCACTGACACGTGTCCAGAAGCCCTGTCTTCTCTCCACCAGCTATCCCTGCACCCTGCGCCAGTACTTGCACATGAACACACCCAGTCCCCGCCTGGCCACCATGATGGTCCTGCAGTTACTAGAAGGTGTGGACCATCTGGTTCAACAGGGCATCGCACACAGAGACTTGAAATCTGACAACATCCTTGTGGAGCTGGATGCAGGTAGGTGTCTGTCACAGCCTCTGCGCCCTCTGGGGGCACCAGCTGGGAGGTCGGGAGCATGAGGGTACTTCAGGCCCTCTCTGGTTTTTGTGTTCTAAGTCACTGAGTCTTCGTTTAGCTCAGACACAACAGATGAGCAGTCTCCTGCAGAATGGAAGCTTTTGTTCTTATGGAGAGACTGAACATTCTCTCTCTGTGGAGAGTTAAAAGTTCCCAATTCCTTCCCGTTGCCTACTTACAGAACAAGAACCTCAGTGCAGTAAATGTTTGTGAATAAAGTAAAAGAAAGGTAGCTCATTATAAAAAATACTTTTCAAACAATGAAAGCTATCCAAATGTAATCCCAGCTGCCTCTGGAAATGAATTCCCTATCACTGGAAGCTGAATGATCACTTGTAATATTTTATCATCATCATTATTATAGTGTCACTCTGTTGCCCAGGCTGGAGTGCAGTGGCACACCTGCTGGGCTCAGGTGATGCTTCTGCCATAGCCTTCCAAGTAGCTGGAACTACAGACACGTGCCACCATGCCCAGCTAATTTTTTATTTATTGTAGAGATGAGGTCTCGCCAAGTTGCCCGGGCTGGTCTCGAACTTGTGGGCTCAGGCAATCCTCTCACCTTGGCCTTCCAAAGTGATGGGATTATAGGCATGAGCCACCATGTCTGGCCACCTGATGATATTTTAAAGGAAATTCATATATCTGGTAAAATTTTTAGCTAGATTTAAAACAATGGCTTTCTAAAGGAATTCTGCATGAATCCTTTTACAAATAACTGATTCCTAATGCACCTGCTTCTTAGGTTTGGATTTGGGATTTAAAATTAAATCAAAGGCTCTTGGGGTATAAGGGGTCCTAAGAGATTATCTGAGCCAAGCTCCAGCTCCTTTGTCTTGGGGACAGCTCCAGTTACCAGACAGTTACTGAGATTGAGTCAAACTCTTAGTCCTTTACCATGCCCATGTAACTGGCCCTCCTGTTCGGCTGTCTTGCTGGCCTGTGCTCCTGGGCCAACCCTGAGTCCCTGCTAGCGCCACTCATCCATGTCTCACTGATGGCTTTAGTAGGGACAGAGGGCCCTCAGAGGGAAGAAGAAGGGAAGAGAGTGGGTCATTCACATCTGCCTGCTTCTTAGATGGCTGCCCCTGGCTGGTGATCACAGATTTCGGCTGCTGCCTGGCTGATGAGCGCATTGGCCTGCAGTTGCCTTTTACCAGCTGGTACGTGGATCTGGGCGGAAACAGCTGCCTGATGGCTCCTGAGGTGAGTCCCGCTGGTGTGTCATCCTCCATCAGCAGCTCTTCCACCGAGCTCCCACTAAGTGATTAGAACAGGACTTGATGCCTCATTATTTGCTCAATACCTCCATCTTTTCTGACCCTTAATTTGGCACAAGTTCCTTGCCTACCATTTTGCTTTACTCTAGATTTTCCTAATGCTCCAGGGAGATGTAAGTTCTGTCAGCATAAACTGGGCAGTCTAAGCAGATTCTCATGGGTCTGTGCCAGATTCTGGGTTCCTTGGGACAGAGTTCACATCAGCCCATGAATCAGATGGTGCACAGGAGCATGAAAAAGTTAAGACGTGCCGACAGTATGACATCTCATCCATTGCTTTCTGAGCAGGTGTCCACAGCCCGTCCTGGCCCCAGGGCAGTGATTGACTACAGCAAGGCTGATGCCTGGGCCGTGGGAGCAATCGCCTACGAAATCTTTGGGCTCACCAATCCCTTTTACGGCCAGGGCAAGGCCCACCTTGAAAGCCGCAGCTACCAAGAGGCTCAGCTCCCTGCACTGCCTGAGTCGGTGCCTCTAGACACGAGACAGCTGGTGAGGTCACTGCTCCAGCGAGAGGCTGGCAAGGTGAGGCTATTCCCAGGCTTCATAGGAACTGTGTGGGTGGAAACCTCTGTTCACATTCCAGAGTGAAGGTCAGGCTTGGGCTGGTACCACAGTGACAGAGCCTCTGTCTTACAAAGGCGAAGGCCAATTACAGGAGAACACAAAAGATTTTAGTACAAATAAGAGCAGGGGAGTTAGTCACCAAATCATTAGTCAGAATTCTAGCAATTTGACTTTAGTTGCTTTTACTCAGAAAAGGTACATTTTTGAGAAATGTTTAATAGGGATGTAGCTTATGGAAACAGCCGAGAGCAAATCAGAACAATAGATGGGAAAACATCTCCTGAGAGCAGATCCTGCCATTGTGAAATTAACATAAAGGCATCTAAAGGCAGACCTATGTGAGCCATGGCTGGGGTGGCAGGTCTGGCTCAGACAGCAGGCTTAGTGCAGAGAGCCAAGCCAGAAATGCGTCCCAGCACTGTTCTGCCTCTCACTGCTTACCTCTCTGCATGTGACCTGCCATCCTGGTCACAGCTGGTGTTCAGAGAAGGTTGGCTAGAATAACTGCAACCAGTTATGAAGTGATAGGAGGCAACCTACCCTGGTTCAGGGGACCAGGCAGAGCTAGCTGTACACGAGGCAGGGCCTCTCACGAGGGGCAAGGTTGTTCCAATGATGCAGACTATACACATGAAAAAGCCTGGAGTATGTCTAGTGAGCAGCCAGTACTGGTCAGCTGAGTGAAGGGCATGCATGGGAGAGAGAGGGTGAAGAACCAGGGTGGGCCAGAGAAGGGGAGATCCTGAAGTGACAGTTCACAGTGAAACGGGTTGTAGGCTGAGCCGTGGTGCAGCTGTTCTAGGCTTCAGCTTCCCTTCCTGTTACAGAGACCATCCGCTCGTGTAGCTGCAAATGTGCTTCATCTGAGCCTCTGGGGTGAACACATCCTAGCCCTGAAGAATCTGAAGTTAGACAAGATGACTGGCTGGCTCCTCCAACATTCGGCTGTCACTCTGTTGGCCGACAGGCTCACAGAGAAGAGTTGTGTGGAGACGAAAATGAAGATGCTCTTTCTGGCTAACCTGGAGTGTGAAGCGCTTTGCCAGGCTGCCCTCCTCCTTGGCTCATGGAGGGCAGCCCCATGATGGCTGTGCATGGGGCTGGTGAATTACTAAAAGAACATAGCAGCATTTGTGTTGTGATAATCTGTGAATGTTGAGGGGGGTGTCGTAGGTGTGAGAGGTGGGGGCCAGGAGGCAAGATGGCACAGAGAGGGCTGGTCAGCCAGAGAAGGCTTCAGGCTGGCAGGTGGAAGAACTTGAGTCAGAGTTCACGGTCTGCAGTTACTAACTTTAGCTGTGAGATTTGGGAAGACTCCTATCACCTGTGTGGACTTGAGTTCTCTTACCTGTAAAATGCAGAACTTGGTCTAAGTCAGGAGCTGGCCAACTTCTGTAGAGGACCAGGTAGTAGATACTTTGAAGTTGTCACAACTACTCAACTCTGTCACGGCACAAAAGCAGCCTTAAATCTGTATACAAACAAGCACGGCTGTGTTCCAGCAGAGCTTTATTTATGGACACTGAAATGCTATTTACGTGTGGCACTAAATAGATTTTTACTGTTTTTTTTTAACTATTTAAAAATGCAAAAAACATTTTTGGCTTGCAGGCCATCCAAAGACAAGTGGCAGGCCAGATTGGCCCATGGGCCAGTTTGCCAATCCTTGGTCTAGATAAATTCAAAGGCCTAAGTCTAAAAAAAATGCTGACTGATCACTAGGTCCATTTGTGTATCAGTGCTAAAAATAATGTGATAAGATTATCCCTTTGTACAAATCCAAAGGAACACATTCTCTGAGCAGGCAAGAAGGTAACTCAGGTGTGACTGCTGACCAGAAAGCGCCATCTTAAACCCTGGTCCTGCCCTTACAGACCTCTGAAAAGGGAATGGCCAACCTGAGATGTCAGAAGAGGCTAGGCTTAGGAGGGTTAGATCTGTGTCCACACTGTAGAGAAGCCAGGCCAAGACAGTGGTTGTTGGTGACAGAATTTGGCTGTGACTTGAACATTGTTTGAAAGAGGCAGCACTGTACTAGTTTGTATGTGTTACCTGGGCTAAGGCAGCCATGTGCACGGGCCAACATACTCGGGTATCAGAGGGAAACAGCCAAGTGTGGCCCTGTGGTGGGGAGCCTCTGCACTTGTGGTTAGGCATTCTGGACCAGTTGAGTGTCTTTGGAAAGTATTTCTTGCAGGTAGTGAGTTAATCTAGCATGGCTAAAGTGCATGATGAGATGGAAATTAATAGTGTGGTGATATATACTCACAGACTCCCCTGTTGACTAGCTATTCTAACAGGAATTGAGAAATATTAAATGTAGAATATTAAATTAAATACAACTGCAAAATACACATATTTCTTGAACTGAATATTTGGCTTTAGGAATGACTCTTCTACCCCAAAGATGAGGACATCTTGCAGGCAGATATCAACACTGGGGTGATTTCTCATATAATTTTAAACATGCCTTCTGAGAACACAACTATTGCTTAAAGCAAGGTGAACATCTAGTGATGGATCTTTTCAGCCAAGCCATTCTGATTCTAGGCTTCCCATCTTCATGATTCCCCATGCCCTCAGTGTACTAACTGCTTTATTTTACCCCTTGTGAAGTTATGAAGCGCTGTCATTTCACAGTCAAAGAAAAGACAATCCCACCTTAGACCAGTCAGTCTTAGGTCAAGTTCAGAGAAGCCACTTAAGATTTTGAATCCAAATAGCACCCCACCGTTAGCAAAGCATGGCATGGTCAGCTGAGGCTCGAGGACAACATTTCTCTTTATTTTAGAAATGAGAGTGACTGCACATATGAAAAATACCACTTAGCGATTCAAGGTGGAAAACCTCACGCAAAAATGATTCCCTGACTCCCACCCTTGTTACCCAGTGTTGCATCTCCCATAGAGGTAAAGTTGTGCCAATTTCCCACGGCTTTAAAAAACAAAACCTCACCCCTAATAAAACTCCTGGCTCTGTGTTGTAAAGAGTCCCAGGGCTCTGGCCCTCAGTCAGACTTCTCCTTCTCCTTCATGTGTAAGAAGACGATGCTGAAGATGAAGAGCCCCAACATCATGGAAAAGGCGCTGGCATAGTAGGGGTAGGCGGAAGGGATGAAGCGCTCATACTGCGTGTGCTGGAGTGGCCTCACTGACACCTGGGACAGGACAGAAGTGACAGAACAGTGGCCTGGCCACTGGGAAGCCTGAGCAGGGCACACACTGGCTGAAAACAGGGACTGCCACCTGTGCTTACCTGAGTGGAAGAGTACAGGTGAGTGTAGCCTAGCCGGTTGTAATCCACTTTAAACTGGAACACACCATACACGTCGGGCAGCTTGAACTGAACGCTGTATTTGCCACCTGGGAAGAAGCAACACAAGCAACCAGGTGGGATTTCCAGAGCATTTCCCAGCTGGGCCTCTGGAGAGCATGCAAGGGGTGGGGGTGTCTCCCTGCAGCATCCTCTTGAAGGAACCACCTACCTTTCCTCTTCAAGAAGGTCCTCACAAAAGGATCAATGCGGACAAACTCCAGCTGAATGTCATCGCCATCAAAGGGGATCCACCTTCCATCTGAGAGCTGCTCGATCACGATGCTATACTCCTGAGACAGAAGGTCACATTAGCCAGGGTGGCCAGTGGCTGCAGGGCTGCCCTTCATTCCCATCCCATGAACATGGCAAGCATGCCCAGGAGTTCTGAAACCCTGCAATGGTTCTTGCGCTGCTCTCTCTTTTTTTTTTTTTTT